TCTTAACATCATCAATATTTTTCTATCTGTGCAGAACACTGTTTTTATTTTGTGTTTCTGTAATATCTTACTAATTTTATCAGTGGTTTATATAGGGCAGGATGGCTTTTCCCATATTCTGTTCTTCTTCTTGAGTTTCGCTCTGTCCTAATGTCCCTTGCCGGATTATACTTCTAATTTTATTTTCGTGGAACCCATTTGCCATTAATACCTCTGTGAGAGTCTGAAGCTCTGTATGTACATATGCCTCAGCTTCAGACTCTCACAGAGGTATTAATGGCAAATGGGTTCCACGAAAATAAAATTAGAAGTATAATTGAGAACTTGATAACCTATTTGGAGACCTGCACTGAGGGAAACTCGAGTTTTAACATCAGAGGATATGCAGCGATCCCAACAGGCAACCAGTGGTGTTGTAATGCTTGCTAGAGTCCTTCCCTCTTTGCAGATGATAGCTAGCAATAGGGAGAGAGAGAGAACCGAGCCAGAAGATAGGCTGAGATCTCAACAAGCAATCAGCGGTGTTGTGATGCCTACCAGAATCCTTCCTTCTTTTCAGTTGACAGTTAATAATAGGGAACCAGAGAAAGCTGATTGCTTGTTAAACCCTAACCCTAACCCTTTAACATGCAGTCAGGCTGCAGCTAGGATAATGAAGCAGGAGAAAAAACTGCTGCCCTCCAATCAGGACACAGAGTTGCAGGCTAACCAGCATACGTCAGCAGCAGCCAACATAGAAAAGCGACAACTCCGATCTCGCAGCATACCCACAGCTTCTAAACTGAAAGTAGGGGCCCGATGATGACAAGTTAGAGAGCTTGTCGAAATGTTGCCAAAAAGAAAACTTTTAAAGTGTTGGTTAGGATTTTAGCCAGAGTTTCAAAAGACCTTACAAAGTGTTTTGTTGGGATTTTGGAGGATCTTAAACTGGGATTTTAGGCAGGATTTTAAGCATTTCAACTAACAGACTTTTAATGATGCGGGAAAACACCTGAGATTTTAACTTTTTACATACACACACCCGCGAAAACTTGAGAAGATATATATGTGTGTATATATATGTGTGTGTGTATATAATATATATGTGTGTGTGTGTGGGTGTGTATATATATATACAGTATATGTATGTATTTTCGTAGATTTTTGTTTTCGTAGATTTATATGTAGATATATACATACATATATTTATATATATGTATATATATATGTGTGTGTGTGTGTGTGTGTGTATAATTTTAATTCTTTTATCTGTTAAAAGCTCATACTGTAGTTAATTACAGTTCAAAAATAGCTAGAAAATCAATTTTGAGATTATCTGAGTTTCCCATAGTACAGTATTATTATTGATCAACTTAGTCCTGATCAAGCAGAGCTACATTTATAGGACTTAATCAGACAAATCTTCTTGGCACTGTATCGATTTTAAGCTTTTGTTATTGGAAATAATTTAGTCTTTCTGCTGTTGTTCTTTTATGAAGTTCTGTTATCTGTTAGCGTTTTTGGAGAAATCAGTTGAGGCTCCCAACATAGTAATCTATATTTAAGAGAAGATTTTAAGAGAATTCAAATAAAGGGTGGTACTTATTGCTTAGCTATTGGAGATGCAATACAAAAATTGAAACAATAATGTATAGCAGTGGTCCCCAACCTTTTTATCGCCGCGGCCCACTGAGCGCATGCAGGGGTGGGGGCACGGCCCAGGAGCTTTTGCGCACGGCCCATTGCGCACGGCCCAGGAGCTTTTGCGCACGGCCCAGGAGCCTTTGCGCTGCAGCGTTCATGTCCCCCCGCCGCTGCGCGGCCCGGTGCCAGGTACTCCACGGCCCGGCACCGGTCCGCGGACCGGGGGTTGGGGACCACTGATGTATAGGATCTGTGGTCATTCTCTTGTTGCCACAGTTGAAGTTCACAAAATTATTACCATAACTAGATTGTTCACTGTGTGTAAAGATAGCATATCGCCTTCTTGATTAGATCTCCAGTATTTTAAAACTGTCAAATCTCCAAGAACTGTGAACATAATTCATGCAAAGCTTATCAAAAGAATTATTATATAACGTTAGAAGTGGAAATATATAGCTGTATTGCAGTAATGCATTCCTGACACAGTAATGCATTGCTGTGTTTGATAATATTTAAACTTGGTTTTCCCAAAAAGAGGCAATGAAAAAGATTTCTGTTGTTTTATGATTTTTTTTCAGCTGGTCCACTTTGATGAAACAGTCATATTTATGTTGAAAGGAACAAAGCATTCCTTGGGTTTTGATGTTTTGCAGCAAAAGTATTGTTGTACTTTCAGGACTAATAGCTATTAAGGTCCCACTCCATTTGTCTGAATTTTTATGAAATAAAAATTTCAATCACTTTTATTGGTTGTGGGTTGTTTTTTTTTTGCTTCTTTTCATCCTACCTGGAGAAGAGTAGAAGAAACAGTGAACTATAGTCTATTCTTCTTCAGTGGGAAGTTTTGAGAATTGGATTCCCAGGTTCTCAAATTAAATCTGTTTGTATTTATTGCAAACTTATGTTTTAATATAAAGATGTACTTTCAATATATGTAAAATGAGGATATATCTGCATAGTTAACTACCGTCGCCTTCAGTGAGTTTACTAATTCAGAGTAATATGAAGTGCCATGACTGCTTAACCTTGATAAAGAAAAATAAGACAATGTTTGTTCTATTACTTATTTATTAATTTGATTTAGTTGCTATACGACTACAGAGCAACTCCATATTTCAAAAATACACAATGTAGGTACGTTAAGAGAGTCCTTTTTTAGTAGTCAGATAGTCAGTAATATATTCCATACAACACTTAGTTGAACTTTTATATTAAGCAGATTTGATATCTTGCCTTCTGCCCTTCTGACAGAAATTCAATAGTACATTTATATAAGAGGCTATCTACCCTTGACCTCTGAGAGAAATTGAATTGATTGTGCACATTTGCTAATGTCCTTTATATTCATATGTGGTACAAAGTTTAATTATAGTACTTTTAACCTCCAGGCATCACAAAACACCATCAAAACAATCTTATTCTCTGCCTTTAACAGATACCTCAGAAATACCCTTACTACTACAGGAAAGTAGTAGAATTCTGATCACTATTGCTGTTCAGTGGGTATTAGCATAGTCTCTGCTGCTGACTGGAATTTTATTGATGCTATACTGTTAAATTTCAGTTTGGTTACATTATGAAGCAGTGGCCATAAAAGCAAATACATTTTGAATTCATCTACTGCCAGTATTCTTATTTTTAGCAATAAAATTATATTATCTAGTTTAAAATTTCAATAAGTATTGAAACATAATTCAGATACTTTAGATTTAGTTGTTTTAGTAATTTTACATTTATTTGATTATCAGTCTTCTGAGCAAAGAAAATTATTCTGGTTCAAGAATCTTTTTGAATAATTTACTTCTCATTTATATATAGAATTTGAACGTTCTTTTCTATTATGTTTTGAAACTGCAAATAGCAGTGATCACTGAGTACAATTAAGATTTGATTGATTGATTTGTTTCAGACATGAGTTTTGATTAAAGCTGTAATGAAAAATTATATAGCCCCAGTATTCTAAGGCCTGGTAATAGGTAACATCACTTCCAATGTGCATGGCACATGCTTGTTGTTTGCCACAGTAAATTACCAAACTTACATTTTAGCAAGGATGTATTTTTACTTGTTTCCATAACATAACATAACATTATATTAATGGGTAAAAGGAAATTTCATAATTCTTTCATTTTCATTTATTCATCCCAGATGTTTCTTTCAACCTCAAAAAAAAAAAAAAAAAAAAAAACCAAAGTGAGAAATTATCTTGCATTTTTCAAAAAAAAAAAAAAAAAAAAGCATAACCCCTGACCACAAGTATTTTCAGACTCAAGTTACTTGACTTGAGCTGAGAATGGGGTGTAAACTTGTTTCTTTTTTAGGAATTAAGAAGCATTCATCAGATGAAAAGCTTTCTTCAGTAAACTTTTCCCTTTGCACGCAGATAGCTAGAATAAGCTTTCTCAGTAAAAAAGTTATAAACAAACTCTATTTCAAAGGTGTCTGGATATCCCATATTAGTCTTCAACTCTGGTGTGGACTGGAAATCATGCCTTCCATTTTGAACTTAACCTCTGAGTTTCTGTTGTAATTTTCTTTCATAGCTTGATCAATATTATATTTTGTATGTAATTCATAATGTTCCATATTATTCACAATTTGATAATATTTTGATTAAATGTCCCACATTTAACACTATCAAATAAAATTCCATCAGGTTCAGTATCTTGTAAACTAGGAAAAGTTCTTCTGAGAATCTACAACACATAAAAATGCTATGGTGGTAGATAATCACTCTGTCTTCTTTCTTATAATTGACTAAGTTCTGCTAGTTGGTTCAGTTAACCTGATTCTTTGGGTGCCTTGCCTAATTTTCTTGAAATCAGCTAAACGTTGCAAATTAAATAGAGCTATTTATTTGGATATGTTACTTATGATCCAACCAATTCTCAAATGTTTCCCATTTACTTAGAACTTTAATGGTTTCTAAAAACCTTTCTCTAAAATATAAATATGAGAACTTTGAGGAAATGAATAAAATGTAAGGCACATATGAATATAAGCACATATGAAGAACGGTTGCAGGAACTGGGTATGAAGTTTGGATTGCGTTGTCATGACATGAATGGTCAGCTAATTTAAAGATTGTTGGGTTATTATCATTATTACTTTCTATGAATGTAGATATATATGGTTACATACAGATATTCACAAGGCGATATCCAGTTTACACCTAGGTTTCTACCGTCACAAACAATGCATAATTTGATCCAAAGATTGCTTAGATAATGCTGTACATTTTGAATTGATACATATATGTCTAAATAATTAAAATATGATATGCCATTGTTCATAAATCAATATAGGCTAAATATCAGAGCAATTTACTAATGTTTTGTCCTGTTTTATTCACATGTAAATATTTCCTTTTTCTATAGGCAACAAACAAAGACCTCAGTTTACCGAAGCAGACAATCTTTGAACAGTCCTAGTCCAGGAGAAACTGAAATGGATCTTCTAGTTACGCGTGAAAGACAGAGACGTGGTATCCGCAATAGTGGATATGATGTAAGTGTATGGAGACTGCATTTGTTGCGCATATCACAATATTAATAAATTGTTTTAGAAGAATTACAGTACACATTGAGTTTATCTTAGCAAAATGATATACTTACATATTTGCAGCCTTGAGTCCGCAATGGGAATCAATATTTTGTAAAAGGTTTATAAAATCTGCTTCTGAAATTAGGTTGAATGTCACATGTTCATTTTTATGGATTTAGTATTTTTATTCCCAAAAATTTAAACTGACCGTCATTTATATAATGTTTCACAGAACAGTTCTGAATTGTTACTTATACCTTCTGTCGAGATGCTTAATTTACATTTAATGTTTGTTAAATGTTAATTTAATCAAGTCTATATATATATATATATATATATATATATATATATATATATATATACAGATGAAACTCAAAAAATTATCAAAATATCGTGCAAAAGTTCATTTATTTCAGTAATGCAACTTAAAAGGTGAAACTAATATATGAGATAGACTCATTACATGCAAAGCGAGATAGTTCAAGCCTTGATTTGTCATACTTTTGATGATTATGGCTTACAGCTCATGAAAACCCCCAAATTCACAATCTCAGAAAATTAGAATATTGTGAAAAGGTTCAATATTCTAGGCTCAAAGTGTCCCACTCTAATCAGCTAAGTAAGCCATAACACCTGCAAAGGGTTCCTGAGCCTTTAAATGGTCGCTCAGAATCACAATCATGGGAAAGACTGCTGACCTGACAGTTATGCAGAAAACCATCATGGACACCCTCCATAAGGAGGGAAAGCCTCAAAAGATAATTGCAAAAGAAGTTGGATGTTCCCAAAATGCTGTATCAAGGCACATTAATAGAAAGTTATGTGGAAGGGAAAAGTGTGGAAGAAAAAGGTGCACAAGCAGCAGGGATGACCACAGCCTGGAGAGGATTGTCAGGAAAAGGCCATTCAAAAGTGTTGGGGACTTTCACAAGGAGTGGAGTGAGGCTGGAGTCAGTGCATCAAGAGCCACCACACACAGACGGATCCTGGACATGGGCTTCAAATGTTGTATTCCTCTTGTCAAGCTGCTCCTGAACAACAAACAATGTCAGAAGTGTCTTATCTGGGCTAAAGAAAAAAAAGAGCTGGTCTGTTGCTCAGTGGTCCAAAGTCCTCTTTTCTGATAAGAGCAACTTTTGCATCTCATTTGGAAACCAAAGACCTAGAGTCTGGAGGAAGAATGGAGAGGCACACACTGCAAGATGCTTGAAGTCCAGTGTGAAGTTTCCCCACAGTCTGTGTTGATTTGGGGAGCCATGTCATCTGCTGGTGTTGGTCCACTGTGCTTCATTAAGTCCAGGGTCAACACAGCCATCTACCAGGAAATTTTGGAGCACTTCATGCTTCCTTCCGCAGACGAGCTTTATGGGGATGCTGACTTCATTTTCCAGCAGGACTTGGCACCTGCCCACACTGCCAAAAGTACCAAAACCTGGTTCAATGACCATGGGATTACTGTGCTTGATTGGCCAGCAAACTCGCCTGACCTGAACCCCATAGAGAATCTATGGGGCATTGCCAAGAGAAAGATGAGAGACATTAGACCGAACAATGCAGAAGAGCTGAAGGCCACTATTGAAGCATCCTGGTCTTCCATAACACCTCAGCAGCGCCACAGGCTGATAGCATCCATGCCACACCACATTGAGGCAGTAATTGATGCAAAAGGGGCCCAAACCAAGTACTGAGTACATATGCATGCTTATACTTTTCAGAGGTCCAATATTGTTCTATGTACAATCCTTGTTTTATTGATTTCATGTAATATTCTAATTTTCTGAGATTGTGAATTTGGGGTTTTCATGAGCTGTAAGCCATAATCATCAAAATTATGACAACTCAAGGCTTGAACTATCTCGCTTTGCATGTAATGAGTCTATCTCATATATTAGTTTCACCTTTTAAGTTGCATTACTGAAATAAATGAACCTTTGCACGATATTCTAATTTTTTGAGTTTCACCTGTATATATTCTTAGTTATTAATATTAAAATTAAAAATATTAATTGTTTTGTACTAGCAGCCTACTACAAAAGTCCTAGCAAGAACTTATTGAATAATATATAACTTTATTACTGTTATCGATCAGCAATTGGCATACAATATATTAAAAATAATACTGACATTAATAATGTTATGAAAATACATGATCTCAAACTGTTAGGGTCACTCCCTAATTTACGTGAGTGGAGAGCCAATAAGTATGTGAATAAATGTATTTTCCAAAAATTGTTATAGATATCTCCAAATAATTGGTACAAGTTGACAGCTAATTGGCACAAGTTGACAGTAACCAATTTTTTTCTTGTGGACATTGCAGCAACACAGAATTTTACCACTCCATGCGTGGTAGCCGGGTTTGAGTCTTGGAGGAGAAAGCCTACATAAAAGTCATCTGCCTTCCCTGACAATCTCTCTAGAAAGGAGAGAATATATACTGACCTATAAACTCACAGTACAATAAAACATGTGAGATGTCTTTGACTTCTCCTTTACCACATATACATACCTGTTCTGCTATTGGTGTTCTCTTATACCTACCCTGGAGAAATGCTGAGGAGAGAATATTAAATCTGGCTCTGAAGAAAGCTATTCTTTGTTTTGGGAAGATCAGATCATTTAGATACAGTATCTTGCTGATTCCCACACACCCTGTTTGATTCTATCCCTACTGTGGAGAGGCAACCTATTTAGTTCTTCTTGGAACTCCATGTCCTTCATTCTATCAATTACTACTTGCTTTGCTTTGTCAAAGCCTAGGGACATTAAGAATACCGGTGAGAGCCCATAAGAGCCCAGTTTGTGGTCTATCGCCTGTTTCCAGTGGAAGGGATATATTGAGATATTTGTAGTGCACCTAAGAAGCTACTTCCTAAGAATCTCAGTTTGCTTACCTAGTTTCTTTTGATTAAGTTGCTAAAACTTTAGACAGCTTCCCCCAGTGTGGTGACTTAAAATGAATTGGATAATAACAGGTTTCCATGACATATGGGCTGTGGTCTGCATGTGGCCTGCCAAGTAACCTTGTGCAGCCAGCCAGCATTTTTTGAAAGCTCAAGAAATGCTAAGTATACCATTTATTTGGAAGTGAACCTTATAGCGTGTCTTGTGTATTGTGAAACATCCCCCCAAAATATAATCCCTGATGAAATTGTGGGATAAAATCCACAATTGCCCTTGCTAAATTAGACTATAATGAGAAAAAAAATTAAAACTGCCAGTTTACTGGGAGCTGGGATCTCCCTAGTGAAAAACAGACTTTCAAAAATATAAACACTGACATGGAGATTGTTGTTGAAATGAGCTTTAAAATTGCAAGAGAAATAACTGTTGATGGAAAATGTTTTACAGAAGGCAGCTTTTTAAAGCAGTGTACTGTATACAGATTGCTGTGTACAGAAGGCAATTTTTTGCTGAAAAAAGAAAGCAATATTTGTGTGCAGCATTTTATTTTATTTTTTTATTTTATTAGTCGTATTTCTATGCCGCCCACTCTCCGAGGACTCTGGGCGGCTTACACTAAAGACTGTATACTAAATAGCATATTTAGGTCCTCATTTTACCCACCTTGGAAGGATGGAAGGCTGAGTCAACCTTGAGCCGGTGAGATTTGATCCACTGATCTGCTGAACTAGCAGTCAGCTGAAGTAGCTGCAGTACTGCACTCTAACCACTGCGCCACCTCGGCTCACATTTTGTTAATATAAAAGGTGAAGTAATAAAATTTCTTGAAAATGAATTAGAAAATTTAAACAGCCCGAAAATGAAGAGTGGAACTGTAATATCTTTTTATTTTGCAATGTCACAACTCATGTAAATAATCTGAATCTTCCCAGATTCAAGGAAAAGATGAACTAATCTTTAATATGTATAATTCAATAAAAGCATTAAAATGAAATTACATCTTTTGAAGGGACAACTCAAAAAAGCAGAACTGGATCAGTTTCTTATTTGTATTCAGCATATTCCTTATCAGGCACACTGAGTTAGGAAAAAAATAAGGAGAGCATTCTAGCCTTCTGATTGAGGAATTCCATGAAACATTTGCTTTGACTGAAGAATATGCTCAGTTAAATATGATTGAAAATCCATTTTCTATAAATCCAGAAGAAAAACCCATAGATTTTCAAACAGAAATAATTGAGTTGCAAAGTTAGGTATTTATAAATCAAAATTTGAGGGAAATTTAAGGGAAACAAATGTTTAGAAAAGGAAAAATTTACTCACTAAAACTGAGAAAAACCTTTTGTATTTTTGGAAACCTATTTATATGCAAACAAACATTTTAAACAATTTAAGAATATCAACTTCGCATTTAACCCAATAAAAAAAGTATTGTTGAAAAAAAGATGCAATATATTGCATTTATTTATTCATGTTTTTTGTACTATACACATAGTATCACAGTCTTCATATTTTCTAGTAATAACCTAATTTTCTCCAGACTCTTCCTTTGTGGACTGTGATTATTTAATGTATCAGTGTGATCCTTTCTCCTGTGTGATATGGATTAAAAATTTTCCTCACATTCTATTACAGGTAGTCATTCTGGCCAAGGCATTGGAATCCTAGAGCAACACAGGCCCTGATGTTAGACAAGATGCATTACAGAGTTATAGACTAAGGTTCTTACATAATGATAGTTCAGTGTCCCAGATATTTGTTCTTTCTTATAATAGATATACAGACTTAAATGGATGCGACTATACTTTGTTATATAAATAATTTATGTGTAAGGAGCTTGATACCAACTTAAGTTGCACTATGTTTTACTTCTTCATTGAATGTGTGACCAAAATTCTTTCAGTTATATTCCTAACTATTTGATAGTTAGGAGATTTTGATTGATTTATTATGTAGCATCAAGCTGTTTTTGACTGAGTAAAGGTAAAGGTAAAGGTTTCCCTCGCACATATATGCTAGTCGTTCCCGACTCTAGGGGCTGATGCTCATCTCAGTTTCAAAGCTGAAGAGCCAGCACTGTCCAAAGACGTCTCCATGGTCATGTGGCCAGCATGACTAAATGCCAAAGGCGCATGGGGCGCTGTTAGCTTCCCACCAAAGGTGGTCCCTATTTTTCTACTTGCATTTTTTATGTGCTTTCGAACTGCTAGGTTGGCAGAAACTGGGACAAGTAACGGGAGCGCACCCCATTATGTGGCACTAGGGATTCAAACTGCTGAACTGCCGACCTTTTGATTGACAAGCTCAGCATCTTAGCCATTGAGCCACTGCGTCCCTGACTTGTAGTGACCATCTAAATAGATTTTCTCCATGATGATCTAGTCCTTACCTGGTTTTTCAGACAAAGTCTTCTAATGGAGCACTCATTTTCACTGTAATTGAGTCCATCCACCTTGCTGCTGGCTATCCTCTTCTTTTCTTTCCTTCCACCTTTCCCAGCACTGCGACATTTTCTAGAGAGCACAGTATGTCCAAAGGAGGATAATTTGAATTTGGTCATTTGTGCCTTGAGTGAAAATTCTGAGTTCATTTGTTTGATAATCCATTGGTTTATTTTCTTGGCTGTTCATAGTATTCTCAGAGATCTTCTCCAACACCAAAGCTCAAAGGAGTCATGATCTTCCTATCCTTCTTCTTTAGAGGATTGTTTGAATCAGGGTTTATTTGAACACTGGATCGTGAAATCGATATGTTGAAAAATAATACAATATTAAAATCTCATCAAACAATCATGAGACCTGATAGATACAGTGAATGCATCATGTTTACTTTTTAATAGCGTAAGTGTTGAAAAATATAACTCATGCAAACAAAAACTCATTTGCCATATTCCATAATTTTTAAAAGTTGGAAGGGTCTTGAGAGAAAACAAGGTTAAGAAACACTGATCGAAATCATGGAGAAGTTTGAGGGAAAGACAGGAGAAAATGGGAGCAAATAATTCAACATCAGAATTTTAATATATTACAGTATTTAATGTCTTTTGTCACAAACTTTGATAAGTAAACTGGTATGAAACTATTAAAGATATATTTTATCAATGAGACCAAAATGTAAAGCCCTATCAGCTATAGTATTCAAAATTGCTATGACATAGTCCTCTGCAATAGTAAAATATCTTTCTTTCTTTGCATTGCCTTTTGTGTTTAAATATACAATGAAATTCCATTTTAATTGATTAATTGGAATACTGTTTATTAAATAAGGAAGCATATCATCACAGTGATTTATGTTATTTTCATGATAACATTATTATTAAAATAATGCAAAATATTACAGTTGAGTAATGATGTCATTATGTAAAAGCCATAAATTGGCACAATAGATATGATTGATATTACGCAAATGATGTAAATTACCAGGGAAATTTGCTCCATCACATGCATGGTCCATTTCATGCAAGGACCATTTATTAAGATCCAGTAAATCAAATGTCACCGTAGTATAAACACTGCTACCATGATCTAATGGAGATAAAAGTAATTAAGCATTTTGTTTACTATAGAAGGACATCTAGGAATTTTTCTCTCTCTCCAGTTTCTAAGGCGATTTGGAATTATGTCATAATTAGATCATAGATGTATTTGAAACTATGCCAAGAAGTCAAGCCATGGATCTATTTAGTTGTTACCAGCTTTCATCAGCCATTTTCTTCAATGAGGGCTGATTTATATTTGGTTTTTGCCTTTTACATTGTTACATTGATCACATTTCTCTGATTTCCAGAACCCAAATATATAAAAAATAATAATAGCAGTGCTTATGAGGTAATAAATAATCTTGCTGCCTGTTGAAGTATAGTGATTCTTTGCTATATTTGTCAGGATTCAGAAAACTGAAACATCAACTGTGAAAGGATTGTCTGTGTTTTCACATTATGTGTCACAGTACATAAATCATAATATGAAATGCATTTAGGTTTATAGTGTGCTATGCTTCGTTGTGCTTCATTGCAGCAGCAACGTAAAGGAACAATCTATGGTATGAGATAAAGCTGGATTTGCTGTAGTTATTCATATATAGAATTTCCCTGACTGCAGTATTCCCTTGTGCATGTTTCCTTTGCAATTGGATCATCCTGTATTTGTGTTACATTATTGTTATAAAGGCAAATTTAAATATTATGGACACTGGTTTGTACATGCTTCATTTCTGTTATGTTTAATTCATCTTTCTGTATATCTCTAATTTCTTTTTACTATAGGATAGGATATAATGATTGTGGTACAGAACTAATTCAGAACTAGTGACTAGAGCACAATTATCAAATCATTTTCATCATTGGAAGGACACAAATCCATAACTCATTGGTCCCAACCAATTATTAAAAAGTCATTACAAGTACAAATCAATTAAGTACTAGATGCGGTTTGATCAGTTTAACACAAATCAAATAAATATGTCTTCCATCAGCAACAACATGGAAGCAAACTCTTTTCTTTGCCTCTGTGGGATTTTGAGGCATTTTATGGCTCCAGTAAGCCTATTTGCTTCTTATGTTGTTCTATTTATGCCTGCAAAGAGGATCCTACGAAGTAGTCAATGCCACCTATTTATTTAATGAATCTCTTGTCCTTTAACAAGTGTAGTTTAATTTTTAACTTTTCTAGAATTACTACTTTGATCTGGTGGGAAGCCTCATTATCTTTAGTGATTTAGGGTGTAATGTGGGCGGGAGCAGGAACTCCTGTTATACACTTAAGTGTATACACCTTGCTTGTAAAATACAAAGGAAAAAGTGAAACTAAATAATCTAGTGAGAGTGGGAGCAAGAGGGTTTGTGCAAGTATGTAGGAAATCAATACACTTAGGAGAAGAGAATTACAAGAAGTAAATCTAGAAGAAGGCAATGGCAAACCACTTCTGTGTTACTGCCAAGAAATTTGAATGAAACATTAAATTCCAATTGGTTTCAAGATGATGAGACTCCAAGTTGAAAACACTTGTCTAGTTATTAGATAAGAATATCAGATTTTTAAGTTATTTTATTCAGCTTTGCTGTTTATTGACTTTTATATGTTAATGTTAGTTGATTTGAACTTTCCTTTTAAAGAGAAAAATGGAATACAAACATGTAATGAAATACAATTTGTGTTGGTAGTTTAAGAGAAAGCTAATTTTAGCTGAAAGCTGAGAAAATACAAACTTTTTAAATATTTAAGTCTATTCATAACTATGAATTCATTGACAGTACTTGTGACTCTTGATGTAGAGAATATTAAGGCATAAAATAGGTATTTTTATCAGATACTTGTAACATTTGTAATCTTTATAGGATATAGATTTCTTAAGCAGCTAGAAATTCATTGAAATCAAAGCTAGATAGCTATTCTCTTTTTCTTTCAATACAAAACATTCTTAGTTATTAATATAAAATAGTTAATAACAGTCTATATTCATCTTTGCCTGATTATAATTTCTCTTAAGTATTTTCTTCTTTAAAGCAAATAGTGAATAACAATGACTGTGGCATTTATAAAAATGTAAAAGTGACTTACTAAGACTGGAGCAAAGGTAAAGATCTGTTGCCAGTGTAAGTTCTATGCTTGAATGGAAATATGCACCTGATCCAACACCGTATCTCTATCACTTCTCTAATTAAATGATTATAATGAATGGGGAGGGCAATTAAGAATTGAATAGGAAGAATGAAAGCAAGCTTGGGATCTCTTGTACTTGTTGATTTCCTTGCTTCCTTGGGATGCTGTCCTAGTGTTTTTCTAACACAGGACATAGCTTTTTTCTGCTATCTGTTAAATAACAGAGCTCATAAAAGGGGTTTAAGATGATGAGTGAACATATCTGCTCATTGTACACATGTATGAACACCATCATAAAAAATGATTGCAACAATCTCCATTAAACGCTTATATTTTATCCAACAGACTGAGCCTGAAATGATAGAAGAAACAAATATTGACCGTGTCAATGAATCTCGAAATTATACCAGAGCCCATCAAGCAAAAGGCCATTCAGAGACTTCAACTCTGAGTTCTCAGCCATCTATTGATGAAGTTAGGCAACAGATGCACATGTTACTAGAGGAAGCCTTTAGTTTGGCTTCAGCAGGTCATGGAGGACAGAACAGGCAACAAGACACTTACAATTCTGCACAGAATTTGCCATATTCTGAAGTTGTGACCAGTGCTCCTGGTACCATGTCTCGGCCTAGAGGTGGAATACAGTGGGTGCCAACATATAGACCAGAAGTGTATCAGTACAGTTTACCACGACCTGTAAGTGATCAGTTACATATGATACATAAAGAGCTATTGTGAGCTTGTTTCATATGTTTTCAAGGAAAATCCGTTTGTGTTGGTTGAATATGTATCCATTTCACTGCAGAACCTTTGTATATGCCATACAGTGTTTTACATGCCTTTTAAGAACCTTGTCTTTAAAATCACATTGTATATTTCGTGTAAGGTTATGTGTGTGATCTTGGAGTTACATATTCGTGCAAGATGGATTACCAAACTAGACAATTAACCTGGTATGAGTTTAATAGCATAAATGCAGTAAACGTAAACAGTATTTTTCAAGATATAGACAATATTGGAAGTTATATGCTTCCTTTCATTGTTCTGGTTCCTCTAACTGAGACTAGAGTATCAGTAATACAATAGCACTTATATACCTCTTCACAGTGCTTTACAGCCCTCTCTAAGTGGTTTACAGAGTTAGCATATTGCCCCCAACATTCTGGGTCCTCATTTTACTGACCTCGGAAGGATGGAAGGCTGACTCAACCTTGAGCCGGTGAAACTCGAACTGCCAAACTGCTGGCAGCTTGCAGTCAGCAGAAGAAGCCTTCAATGCTGCATTTTAACCACTGAGCACCACAGCTCTATCCTAAGTTAGAGGGAGCAAGAGGGATAGACTGACAGACTCATTCACAAAATCTCTATGCAGTATTACTAGCGGCATGGAGTGGGTTCATGAATATATACTACCAGAAAAGAGCCCAGAAACAAAAAAACTTCCATGTTAAATCAACCTTATGAAGATAAGACAGGTAAAATTTATGCCTGCAGTGTCTTTGCATTCAAAGACGTGGGATACATGTTCTATTATATGTTTAATTATATTCAAGAAAATATTGCCTTATGAGTAGAATCATAAAATATTTTAATTATGTATTTGAAACAGTTACTGTCTTTCTCCTTCACTCAAAAAACAAAGAGGTCATCTTGCGATATATTTATGCCATTAATTTCCCTTATGATAATGAGAAAATAAAAGTTATTTGTTCAAATGTGTGGGATGTGGTTTGGGATGCAGATGATTAGATTTTTTTAAAAAAGAGACAAGAATATTACAAACTAGTGTTTTCTTTGTGATTTTGTATGTGTGAAGCACTTTTAAGTATCACAGTATAGCATAAATTCTAAGGCTCATTAATCCTGAATGACTAGCAACCAAGTCATAGATATGCAGTTTTAAACTAGATCTTTTCCTTCTCTGACAAAGGAAGAATGAGAAACACTTCAGTGTGTCTGTTTAAAACTAGGTTGTGAAATTGTAAAATGAACAAAGTTTTGCCAGTCAATATAAGAAAAAAACTTATTATTCATACCCTAATAGAAAATGTTGCGGTTTTATAAAAGACATAAATGCTAAGATCTATGATAAAATATAGCACAAATATATACATATGTATGTAGAATTACACAATTTCAAGTATGTAACTAAATGGAACTCTCAGTCTGTCCAAACCAAAATAAGTCCTAGTTACCATAATGGTTTATTATTTTTCAGCAATATAAAAGCAGCATTGCTCATGCTGGTTTATTTTATTGGGTTTGTTAAATATATGAGAATCAGCAATCTTGTCAGATGACTTGAAATTAGTTTATGAGATATCAATATTGTTACCTTCTACATACCATTGATTTAATTTATTCATGTGTTATTTTCAGGTTCCAGTTATTAGGCAACATGATTTAAAACTTGCTTACTGGACATGTGTATTGAAATCAGTTCATCCTACATCCATACAACAATTTATTTCTCATATTAGTGTATGCTTGCAAGCAATGGAAAAATAAATGCTTATTGTGATCTCTTGTTTCTTCAATTAGAACAACTTGTACAAAAAGCTATTCACCAAAAAATGATATAATATGAATAAATATAAAGAATATTTATGGTATAAAATTTGACGTAAGAAAAACAGAAGTGCAAAAGAGGAATGCATACTCATTTAATCTGAGTTGCTATGAGCATTTTAAAACAAATATAATTTACTCATAATGTTTCATGGGTTTTCCCAAAGAAACTTAATTTGTGATTTAACTTTTGACAAATAAGGAGAATGAAAATGGGGGCTCCCCGAATTGAACTATAACTCATTTTTATATATGTTAAATGTTCTTATCTTGAAAAAAGATTGACTCTTGGTAAAATTATATAAGTATAACATTTTACAAAATTAATAAATGAGAACTTTTGAGCACATTGAAAGGCTTACTTTTTAATTATTTGAAGACATTTTTAATTATTAGGCTTTTGAGACCACTACCTTTGAATAGAATCTATTGTGGGATTCAATCAAACGGACTTCTTCTATAATGCAGAGAAAGACAATCTAGTGTTATTTTAATAATGGAATTTTTTTTTGAGGAAATGTCTCTGATTTCTTCCCAGGCATACAGGTTTTCTCCACTCCCTGAAATGGTGATGGGTTCTCCACCTCCTCCTGTGCCTCCCAGAACAGGACCTGTTGCTATAACTTCTCTTAGGAGGTACTACAGAAATTTCTAATTTTCTTAGTAACTAATGCTGAAGCTCAGCTACACTACTGTGAAGCTAGCTCCTTATATTTAACATATACTTTTGAAATTCAATCAAATGGTATAATTTCACGTATAATGTTATGATTACATATTTTAAAACTATATATCAATGTTTGGATACAAACTTTTTAGATATGTAAAAATATGCAAAATCTATTCTCTAGTATTGTCTGAACCATGATTTAAATCCTTGATTACAAAGGTAGAATCTCGGGGTGACTGTGCTATAAAATAATTGAATCATTAATAGAACACCCTTTTTTTTTCTGAAATAATCAAATACAGACAGCACAAGATCAGTGGATAATTTAATACTTTTGAGGGGGGTGGCAATCAAGAAAAATTTAGAACATTTTTACTATACTGTTATTTATGTAAATTGGGTAATCATAATAAATGTAGATAGGTTTAACATACTGTTAACATACTTTAAATATTTAGTGCACAATTCTCTGTTCATTTTTATTGTGGATAATGCCTTTTAAATTTTTTATTCTCAGATCAGATTAACTTAATAATGCACCTCATGCATGAGTAGCTGATTGCTGTTGTGTGATTCAGTCTTACAAATTACTTGGTCTGACAAACTGCTTTTAAAAAAAAAAGCCACTTTGGAATATACTGCAAAGCCACCACATAGTACGAATAATGTATTTTCACAGTGTACTGGTATAAGAATACAGAAGCAGCTGAGTTATCCTCATTGGCTGTCAGTGATGTCATCATAGTTGTGCAAAACTATCAATGAGCACTGGCAGCCAGGCTCATCATTCATTGTCAGATAGAACGAAAATAAGAGTAAGCTTAGCATGCATCTAGCAAATATCTAACAAAAGGTATGTCATTAACATTAATGTTTTTAACTGTTATGATTAGAATTATTTACATCAATATAGGTGTTTTCTCGTGTTTACATTGACATATCAAAATGCAGGACAGGATAAAAGATATATAAATTATTACCTAAAGCAAACTTAGTTTGAAGCAGTGGTCAGCAAAGCTGATATGATTAGCTATTAGTGAGAAATGTCAAAATGATAATATTTTCTCTATCATCTTTCACAAACTTTTAAAGAAATCCTGCTGCTCTGGATGAAGTGGTTCTGCTTTTTGATCATTTACATCAAAGTACTTAAATGTGTGGCTCCAGAATAAATGGGTTCTAGACTTTGACCAAGGTATATTTGACATTGACATGACTAATGTTTCCAATATGTATTGTACAGGTCAACTTCTGATATTGGCAGCAAGACAAGAGTATCAGAGTCCAGTGGGACTGAACAGATACAGCCACATGATCATGTCCCTTTTGTCCCAGTATCAAAAGCCCCAGTAACTGTGGCTCCATTGGATCAATCAGCTTTGAATTACTCAGGTGAAAAACGCATGCGGTACAAACAGAGACCACATCTAAGTCTGTATGGCATAGAGACAAGTGTATGAGATCTAACAAATACCCTTGTTTAAAACTGTGTTAATGGTTCTCTTGAAGGCTTGAGGAGGAGGATTGATAAAAGGATCCCCACACATACCTTCATTTATCACACGAAGTATATTTCTAACACATAGGAGAGGAATGGAGAGAAAGGACATGGTCTCGCTATTTGAAGCATCTGGAATTAGCATCTTTCTAAGACAGGACATTGGAACTGCTACTGTGTTATAGGACAGAAAACAGATGGCCATGTAACATAGTCTTTTTTTTTCTTTGCAGTGATTACTTTTGAGCTGAATGCATGTGTGTAGATTCAAAAGCCAGGCACTTTTTAGAAAAAGCTAGGGGAAATTGCTGTTCTCGGCATAGTGTATTGAAGCCAATCTGAACTGATGGTAAATGTCATGTGGCTGTTTCATAGTGCCTACAGCTTCCAAGCTCTAGGTCCTTGCAAAGTGTTTAAAAGTGAATTTGGTGATGGTATTCCAACTGGTAATCGAGAAGTTTCCGATATGGCAAATCTATTCAGATTAACTCCATTTGTCATTAATAAACTGACTATGATTATACATGCAGCCGTATTTGCCACATGGAGCTTCAGCAGATGATATTACGGTAACACATGAAACTTCCTCATGCTGCATTAAATCAGTTCACCTGTCTCCAGGTATGATTGTCAGCAGCTCTCCAAGATTTCAGACATCTTTTTTCATACTGCCTGAGATCCTTTAATTGAAGACAGTAATGACTGATCCTGAAACATGCAAAGGAAAAGTAGTTATATTATTATTTGCGAAGACTTTGGGAGGATGAGAAGATTAGTGGTTGTATTCTACCATTGACTTGTATCTCAAGACATTTCTTTGATTCAGTAGAATTATTAACCAACTGATCAAAATAATTCTTAGTTTAAAAACAGAACAAAAGATTGCAGTCTATCAGATACTTTGGATTTATACATCCTAAATGTTTGTATATGCCTGTGTTTGAATGAGTTGGGAGTATATCTTGTTTTACATTGTAAAGTTGATCTCCCACTTCATTGGTGTTTCTGATATTACATATTATTGCAGCTCATGAGTTAAGACTTTAGAGGAAAATCATTTTGATTGGTCAATAATTCAGCTAATGAAAAATGTATTATTTTCAAAGAAGAATAGTTGTGTTGCTAGTTTGTTTAATGTGCTTACTTGGATAATAAAGAGATTTAGAAGAAGCAGATTTTTTTAAAAGGGTTCTGCTACTAAATATTTATTCTTAACTTGACTGATACAGCCTGTATGATGAAAGGAAGGTAAGCCAACTAGCTGTTTAATCATGTGCAAAAGGTGTGGTGTAGATTTCTTTTTCTTCTTCTTCTAAATTGCTTTTTTCCCTATCTCAGTCTCATCGGTAGACAAGAAACAGTAAATTATTATCCCCAAAGTTTTGGAACAATTTTCTTTGAAGTGTTTCTTGAAAATTCAACTTTGTAAATTAGATAATAGCTTTTAAAATAAAAGCTTGTTCCTACTCTTCAATGACCAATTTAGATAAATAAATCTGAATGGAAAAAGTGTGTAGGGAGAACAGCTAACTTGCTTATTGATTAAACAGTATTACTTGGTACTGCAATTTTTCTTAGGATTTTCCTCCTTTACATTTTGTGGTTTAATATATACTGTGTTCAAATACCATGGGTGCTAATCCAAACACAGGCAGCGGCTGTTGTATGCGCTTTCCAAATCCTTTTGTCCTAGATCAGGGGTGTCCAACCTTAGCATGGCTGATTGGGGAATTCTGGGAGTTGAAGCTCATAAGTCTAAAAGTTGCCAGAGTTGGACATTCCTGCCTTGGCTTTTATCTGCTATTGTAACATTTGCCCTTCCCCCTTCCCAAAGGAAATAACAATACTTCTCTTCTGATGGTTTTTCTTTAGATGATATTACTAGCAGTAAATGTCAGTGGAATGAAATTGCATCTCTAGCCATTAATCTGATTTCCACAATAAAAAAATAGTCAATAATGTATTATGAAGTTTATGAAGCACTTAACTAATGGAATATACATTTCTATTCTACTGATTAGCTGTATCATTACTTTAAATTTCTTGAAGTTTTTATTAAAGAGGAGGAATTGACTTCTCTTAATTGTTAAATTTGGAAAAATCTTAAGAGCGATGACACTGGCTGAATGAACTGCTGGATGTGACAAATGTTTCCCTTTGTTTTTTAAATATGAAAACATAAAAATGAGTGCTACTATAATGTTTCCTACATATGGAATATATTTTTAAAAACCTAACTTAATAGTCTTTGTAAGATCAGCGTGTAACAATACATCAACAGTTAATAGCTTTTTCTTAAATAGATGTTCCCTAAAAAGTACAACATAAATAAAAGCAGTTTAGGCCACACTTTTAAGTGTGCTTACATGGAACCAATGGAGTATAATTATATATACAAGCATTATATACTTGTATATAGCATTATAGTTATACTAAATATAATTATACTTGGTATAATATAGTATTATATTTATACAAAGTATACTTTCATGAAAAGTAATGGAACATGCAATGTTCAATGATTGGGATAAGTTCTCTCTCTCTCTCTCTGTCTCTGCCTCTGTCTGTCTCTCTCCCTCCCTCGTTCTCTCTCTCTCTCTCCCTCCCTCGTTCTCTCTCTCTCTCTCTCTCTCTCTCTCTCTCTCTCTCTCTCTCTTTCCATCTTTAAAAACAAAGGGCTTGAAAGAAGTTTCACTATATTGCCTTAGGTTATGATCCAGTGGCGCGTTGAAGAATTTTACTTAACTTTAGGCATGTAAATAGTCTCCGTGGGGCCACTCGGCACAGTTTGCATGTTGTCAAGAGATGCTTAATGCTTGTGTGCTCTTTTACTCATAGGTCTCATTAGCTTTGAAACCTTTTTTTTCTTTATTGAAATAGTCAATCATCAGTTATAGTGCTTCTGGGCAGTCTTCTGCCATAGATAGCATGTCATAGGCTGCTTCTGAAAAATACTCCTTTAATAAACATTTCTGGAACTGATCTGTAATGGGATTGCACAAAATTGTTACAGATTATTCACCCTCTGTAGTTTCCTAGCACAGTGATTTTAACCTACATTTTAGGATATATCACTTTATCCTAACCTCTGAAATAATTTATCCATTCAGCTCCTCCTTTTATTCTTGCTACTTTATTCTCAGTTCTAATTTTTATTGCCTGAAAGCAGGGTAACTCAACCTAGAATATTCCTTTTTGAATTTCACACAATATTTTGGAAACTATGTACTAATAATTTCTTGGTTTTGGTTTGTTTTTAAAAATAAGATAGAATAATGCATATTACTTGCTTGTTTAAGTATTTAAATGTTGGTCAGTTTAGAATTTCAAGAGTGATACTTCAAAATGGATATTTTTGATGCAGAGGTATCAGTGTGTGACTCATTAGTAAAGCATTATTGCTATGATATATTTATATATTATCAATAGTGTGTTGATAATAGAACATGTTGAGATTTTTTGGGCCCTCTTTGGAAAAGATGGAATGTAAGATACTGTCACTAAGATAGAATGCTGACATCTATAGTTTTATGGAAGAAAAAAACATTATGATGAACCAATTTCAATTAGATCTACTGAAATCAGAAAACTTAAGTTATTACTACTATGCACTATTTGACTTTAGTGAGTATATGCGCTAAATAAATTTGACTCTAGCTCCATAATTAAAGCTCAGATTTTAATCAAGAATGTGCATTAATCTTACCTCAGATTTAACTGAGATGGGTAACATTATTATTGACATGTGGACATTTGAAAAATCTTTAATTATACAGGTAGTCATCATTTAATGACCACAACTGGCACTGGCAACTCTGTTGTTAAGTGAAGTGGTCACTAACTCAAACTGTGACTGTGCTTATGACACAGTCACAAACTGTGACTTCAACTTTCTTTTGCTTTCAGGATTTGTTGTAAAGTTATTTTTTTTAATCACCACTAGGTGATAACTAGGAATGATTTAAATTAGCGAGTCGCTAAATGAGGACTACCTGAATTGAGTTTTGCCAGTTTTCTTAGGAATAAATATGTTAAAGAATTGTGTAGATATTTCAGCATTACTCCATGTTTGCAAAAATATTCTAGCTTCTTATTTTCTGGGAATAAATCAGTGTTGGTTTATAAAAACTAATGAATGAATAAGGTTAATATGCCCTAAGAATAAGGGGCTGATTTTGAGAATCCTAGAGATACTTTAATTTGCCTCTTGTTTGAATGCTGAATGCTGACATAGTCATCTCACTTTACTCTTTCAGAAAAAGCAGAACATAGAAAAGGAGATAGAGTAAGCCAAAGAAATTAATTTCATGAGATAAAAAAGAAAATGCAACTAATTCACTATAGCTCTGCATACCTTTCAATCTTTGTAAAACAATTCTTGCTTCCACCACACCCCACATAGATTCATACATTGACTTCTGTTGTTTAGGCCGATAACATCAAAATGGAGAAAATAGAATGGGCATCAGAATTTCATTTTTAATCTGTGCCAATGTATACACAGAAAAAGTGACAATAAAGGTTATCTAATCTCTTAATTGTAATTTCAATCCATGTTAGTTTTCAACAAGATTTTTTTTTTTTTTTTGCTATGAAAACTTCGCAGCTTGAGTATGGTTTAAATAAATATTGGAAGTTAACAGGGATGGAGTGGTTGGAAGATATTTGGACAATATTTCCATTTTAACCTATTCATTGTTGATGTTTCAAAACCTGGCATAAACATTTTCAATTACAAATACATCAATTTGTAATTCCAAGGCAGATCTCAGCTTCTTTCTTTAGAAAAAAAAAGGCAGAAAGAAGCACTATAGGACTGCATGTGGCTTTTAAGAAGTCATGAACCTGTGAAGTTCGGAGGAATTATTCCAATCTAGAATCCCATCACATTAGATTCCATAGAGCTTCTAACACAGATAAATGGTTTCAAGAAGGTAGATAGTTTCATTTATATCTGGAACTTGCAAGAATATATGAATACTTTCATCTGATCAGGTCATCGTATTTTCTTGAAATCACCAAAAATAACAAGAACATGCAGACTAAAATAAAGATAAGCAGTTCAACTGGCATTACTAACTACAAGAAAATATTTTGGGATTCTCTAACCATTTTGACTACCTCAGAAAAGAGAATCTGGAACAATAACAAAGTACATATTGATCTCTAATCCTACTAGGAAATGTTGAGTGAATAAATGATAATTGAGCCATATAATCTGTATTGAATAGGTAAAATATATCCTGGAATTGGCCTAGGGACTGCTTTCTCTTCAGTCATGCTTCTTACATGCTTCTATAGTGAATCTTAACTATAAGGGATTCAGAATGTTAGCATGAAATTTCCAAAGTACAAGCAACTTTCAATCAGTTGTTTGTAGGAGAATAAACCATCTATAACAACTTTACAGTTTTAAAATGCCTGCTGCTACTACTATTACTACTACCACCACCACCACAAGTATTTTAAGATTTCTGCTTGGCCACATGAGTCTGATTTAAGTGGTCTGCACAATCATGATCACAGTTCTTCCCTTTTTCAGGAGAAAAAAGTTTGAAATGTAAGTTACATATTTGTATTGATGGTGACTTTTATACGGGTTCTAATTCTGAGTGATCTTTTCATATTTACACTAGAGCAGTGGGTCCTTCCCTTGCTTCTTTTATTTGTTTAACTTGAGGATAGAAGAAATGCTTACTGCTGCTCTTCTACTCAAGATCAGAACAGTGGAGAAGACATAGAAAAGTTTCCATTCCCCCTCTTCTAACCCTCTAAACATGGATTAAAGGTTAATTCTGCTCTATTTGTGTTAGTTTGCATCCTTCTAGTTCTGGGGGATGCATATTTGTAATTGTGACTACTCAAGGGAAAATTACAATTGCTCCAGCAGGATAGCAGATCCTCACTAACCTTATCCTGGATTTAATGTTACAAGCCATCTTTGTGATTGTAAAGTGTGGTGTAAATATACAGCTGTGGTATAAATATTGGTACTGGAAATGCCTTTAAGCAGTAAAATATTTTCTAATTTCATAATTTACTTGTGTTAAATCTAATCATTCCAACTTATGGATTCAAGGGACTTTGTTTGTAATATGATGTCTCTGTTTTGTTATTATTATTATTATGACTATTATTACTACTATTATTATTACTATTGGAATGACTCTTTTTAGAATTGTTGTTGAGGCCGATAAGATTAAATACACCTTATGCTATATTCATTCAGGGGTGTATTCATCAACAGAAGAAATAATTTCCTGAAACCTTTCAAATTCAGAGTTTAAGGTCTCACGTCAGAGATCTTAAGGAGACATAACTCAAGGAACATACAGTATGGGGCTAACTTCTAATATTCTCTCCCAAATGAAGGTTGTTTGGTTGGTATATTTGGTTCCTTTTATAACTTGTAAACCCATAAGTAACATTTGCGCAAACTTGAGAAGCCCATTGTAGACAAAGAAGGCTGGAAAACTATGTTGTAAATTGAAATGGAAAAATGGAACTTTGTCTTATTAAAATACATTGTTTCTGTTTAACATTCCATGTGTGTGAAGTGTTTTGTTTTGAGATACTCAAACATATTTGTCAATAAGACACAAAAAGAGAGCAGTTTTGTTTAATAAATAGGCTCTTGCAAAGGAAATAGCAACTGATGACAATAATGTAACAATCATGGCAGGTGTTAAGTGCTGTTCGCTGGTTGAGTTATAATCCATATAAATTCCTAAGTAAACGTTAAATGGAGGTAAGAGGCACAAGGCACACAAGTTTCACTATTCAGCAGAGAATCTTATGAGAACCACATTGGCATCTATGCAAAATGCTATGAGGTACTAAAGAAAGAAGGAAAATAAAATTACAGTATTCATAAATATGATGGTGAATTTACAACTTAAAATGATAGAGTAATTCTCAAGTCCTTCACTTGATGAGTTTTCACAGGAAGGTTACAATAAATTTTACTCAAATTCTGTAATATGTAAAATTGAAATATTATTCCAAGAGAGATATTATGCATTGTAAAGATAGTTGTAGCAAAATTAGCATATGGAGACAAGTTTCAAAATTAACATTGCTCTGGAGATATTTTCCTTAGGAAGAAAACTGTAGACCTTTTTATATTTACATAAGAATAAGTTCCATTAAATTCAGTTAGTTTATATGGATAAGATTAGGCTCCAAAAGTTATATCAATTGCAACCACAAAAGATGCTAACAGTATGCCAAAGCAAAGACCAAACTACATTGGACCCAGAAAATAAAATATTAATAGCACATGCTACTAGCTGTCTCCCGAACATGGACTTATGGCAGAGATATTTTCTTTTTGGCAAAAGAAAAAAGAAAAGAAAACCAGGCTCTATAATGTTCGCATACTTAATTATTTAAAATTTTGAGTTCTAGAAAAGATGATAAGATACTTGGAACATTAAAAATCCTAACATGTGAATAATTGCTATCTTTGGTCTATAAGAGCAGTGCTTCATACCCAGACGATAACAGTGGCTTCATTTTTAAAAAAAATACTTTGCAACATTTTTGCTGAGAGCAGTAATGTGATATCAGTAATTTGAGGAGCGCATCCCAGAAGATACCAGTGACAGACTGAAAAATCTATTCATTTGTCAGCTGATGAAGAAGGTCATTCCTGTGGACAAGTAAACTCTTCATGAAGACATTAGAAAGGATCAGGAAACAGCAAGATTGTGACTAAGTGACAATATATATATATATAAAACTTACTCGGATTTTTCACTGGAATTGAAGATTTAAATAACATTAAATGCTAGGTTATTTGAACTACTTAAAGTCTGATGCACACAACGTAAGACAGTCACATCTATAATGTTATTCCCTTATTCTTTAATAATCCAACAATTTTGCTCAAAACGTGACTAAACACAAAATTCAACTCAGAAAAATTTGAAAGATTTTGCAAATATGCAAAAGCACTGTTACACACAAACATATTTCACAAATTCGAAACAGATGGTTACAGCGCTTTCCAGAAACTCTTGATCCTATTGTGATTGCTCATTGTTCCATAAGACTCTGTTGAAAATGAACTATGTTGGTGTTTCGGCTAATAATTGTACAAAAGAAGCAACACATTTAGAGAAAGACTAAAATCTATATGTTTCTCATATCACATATACATTATGTATACTCGCAAGCTTTATTTGAAACATGTCCAAAAACATCTCTTTCTACTCTGCATAAATCCAAGAATATGCATCTGCATTGTGCCACTTACTGATGGAAATAATAAATGAAAAGCTGGTACAGTAATTCATTTGGACAAAGAACAAGTACCGCTACTAGTTGCATGAATATAGTGCGGCTGTCTTCGCTGTATCACATGGAATGTCAGTGCTGATCTCTCTTTATATAGGTGCCGTCTCTTCCACAAAACGTGCCACAATAGTGGCAACTTGGCACTAGGTGCAGATGCAGCTAGTACACATGATCTACTTTTGGCAAGAAATTCTCCATCGCCACTTAAACAATGGGATCTTCTATTTGGAACATCTCAGATGTCCTTTAAAATGTTCCTCTGTGTTTATAAAATATGTTTCAATGACTAACTACCTTCCCTATTTTTTGATAGGAAATACAGTTCCAGCAGTGTTTGCCATCCCAGCAGCAAACCAACCTGGGTTCACAGGTTATTTCATCCCAGCACCACCTGCAGCATACAGAAATCAGGCTTGGATGTCTTATGCTGGAGACCCTGATATCCCAGGACAATGGGCTGACTCGGTAATTGAGCAGATTTTATTTTACTATTTGTATCTCAAGAGTAAACTGATATATATAGGTAGTTCTCAATCACAATTGAGCCCAACATTTATGTTGCTAAGTGGGACATTTGTTAAGTGAGTTTTGCCCTATTTTACGATCTTTTTTGCCAATGTTGTTAAGTGAATCGCACTGCAACTTTCATAAATGTGAGTCAGTTGTCAACTGTCAACTGAATTTTGATGATGTGACCATGGGGATGCTGCAGTGGTTGTAAGTGTGAAAAATGGTCATAAGTCAATTTTTTCAGTGATGATGTAATTTTGAACAGCCACTAAATGAACTGTTGTAAGTCGAGGACTATCTGTATTCCTTTTTTAAAATTCCAATATTGCTATTATTATTTCAAAAAAATAAATAAAATAAACTTGATAGAAATACACTGAATACAACAAGAATATTGGTCAATGACTTGCAATTAAATAGCAGATTGAAGATATCATGTGGTCAACACATTCTAGTACACAACAAACAACTTAAGAGTAGTATAAGATATACCATACTCAATTTCTGGCCAAGAGATATCTCTACTAAACTATAAAAATATTCAAATATAAAAATTATGTTTAAAAATGGAATTAAAATAAATTTAACACAATTGAATTAGAATAAACACAATTAAAATCAATGAGAAAAAAACTAAATAATAAACAATACAACAAGAATACTATAAATAATGTGTAGACTATGTGACTGATTAAAATACAAAATTCTGGACTCCAAATTTAGGTTTCAGTACAAATGAAAAAAAGCTGTCATTGTTTTTCGAAGATTTGCATTCAAATAATAAAAGTGAAGAGAAGAGCACATTCACATATGTAATGGAATGTGATTGATACTGGTTACACAATTGCTGATCATAGTACTCAGCTATCCAGCCATTTCCAGAAGAGAACTTAAAGTATGATGTTACAGTACAACAATAGGAAGTTCACTTTGCTAATGTTCATTAATGTTTTAGGTTCCTTTTATAAAATGTTATTAATGCAAAATAACAATAGTTGTTACACATATTGTTCAAATTTTCCGGTATGCCTAAACAGGGTTTAAGCTGAATATTAGAACTATAAAACACATAGCAATTAATTAATTACCTAATGGAAGTTAAAGAAGAAGATGAACGAACAATGTATAAGGACTGTACATTTAAACATGTTGATGAAAAATAAAAATAAAGAACTTTTTTCAAAAAAAAAAAGAACTATAAAACACATAGTAGAATAACAGAGTTGGAAGGGTTCTTGGAGGTCTTCTGGTCCAACTCCTGCTCAAGCAGGAAATCCTATTCCATTTCAGGCGAATTCTTGCCCATTCTGATTGTGATTTCCCAAAGTAATTTGAAAACAACACAAAGAGTTAAAAATGATACAGTTTCAGTGATCAAGTGAGATACATAATGCCAAAACAGACTTTACATAATTATTAATACATAATAATTACTAAATACATGTAGTTTTTGACTTACAACAATTGAGCCACAAATTTCTGTTCCCAAATGAGACATTTGTTACATGAGCTTTTCCTCATTTTACGACCTTTCTTGCCACAGTTGTTATTCACTGCAGTTGTTAAATTAGTAACCTGGTTGTAAGTGAATCTGGCTTCCCCATTGACTTTGCTTGTCAGAAGATTACAAAAAGTAATTTTTTCTTTTGCTGGTACTGGCCTACTGGTAGTGTCACATGACCTGTGACACTGCAACCATCCTAAATATGAGTCAGTTGCCAAGTGTCTGAATTTCGATCATGTGACAATTAGGATGCTGCAATGGTCATAAGTGGGAAAAGCAGCCATAAGTCAGCTTGTAACTTCAAATGGTGCTGTTGTAACTTTGAAGGTCACTAAATGAACTGTTATAAGTTGAGGACTCCCTGTATTTACTTCTTCTTCTTCACGTTATTGATGAAGATATGGTTTGCATTGGTATTCTTCTGATAGAGTTTTTAAATTAAATAATAATGATAATTGGTGCACTGGATGCCACACCAACAAATCTTGTGGGGCACTTAGAAAGTCCTTGCCTTGACTAAATTTCCATCAGCCAATTTCCAAAGGCCACATTGCTTGAATTCACACATTTACTTACGCCCATACATTACAACATGCTAGTTTCTTCAGAAGCTTGATGCATATGAAGGCCAGTACCAGCAAAAGAACTAGCAATTGTGACATTGCCACTCACAACTAAATTTTTGTAATAATAATTTAGATATTATATGTTGCCCAACTCACAGTGAATCTGAGCAGTGTACAGATTACTAAACATATTTAAAAACAAGGAAATGAGAAAAAACCAACAACAACCAAAAATATGGATGGAAATAAAGATTCATTGTGTATAAGATCTTGTATGGAAAATGTTTAGTTTAGGGGTTGGTGGTGTTTTCTTTTCCATGAAAGTGACTAGGAAATCAGCACTAGCGTTGTGCTCTAAATCACCTTGTAAGCTTTTAAATGAAGAGTTGAAATAGATTTTTAAAAAATGAATAAATTGAGAACTCTCTTTTTTTTTTTTAAAACAATGAGTAAAATAGAGAACTCCAGTATTGAAATTTTGGGTGTCAGGATAGTGTTCTAGAGCATTTATTTTTGGAAGAGCATAAAACACCATCTTATATGTGTTAGTTTCTTTGTAAAATATAAGCTGCAAATGAAATACAAATTAACTATTAAAATAATAGTACACCTCTCCTTAGAGACCGCAATCTGTTCCTTAAATCAGTAACACAATGGTCACTAAGCAAAATGATTGCTAAGTAAACATGTGACTGAGAAAGAGAGATGCCATGTAGATCAGTGGTTCCTGCCATCTCTTTCAGATAAAGTTCTCTTGTACAGTGTCCTGTGCCTGACCCATTTATTCCTGGTTTCTCTTCCCCCCTTCACAGGGTAGAGAGACTGGATAAACAAACCCTAACTCTTCCTGCTTTTCTCTGCAGTGCAGCTCTTTCCTCAAAAGTGCTAACTGCAAATTAAGAAGTGCAGCTTTGTGATTTTAATTATTTGTTTAAAACCCTTTGCTCTGCTGGTGCCTGAAACTGACCAGACTAATCAGTTTCACACTGAAGGTTTTGTTTTTAGCTTTATGAAATTTAGTTGTAAATTTGCAAATTAGTCAAAAAATTATTTGTTAGTATTACCATTGTAATATTTTTTGAATGGCTACTAAATGAAGTAGATACTAAATAAAGAGTGGCTGTAAAAACAAAATTCAACCAAAAGTGATAAAATAAATGTTATCAATAAAAGTTATTGTAATTTATCTACTTTAAATCTTTCTGATATCTGTAAATAAGACAACCGTATATCCCTCTGCCATCAATTGTTCTCTTTATTTTATATCCCCCTTGACAGAATTCTAGTATTCACAATAGTTGGTCTATTATTTCTTGGGTATAGAATGTTTCTTGTGTTGAGAGCTATAAAGATGTTTTCTAGGCACAGCCTGGATTTGCATTTATTCCATAATCTCAATATGGCATATATAACATAATGATTTTTGAAGTCAACATTAACTTTATCTTATCACAAATATCCATTCAACCCAAATCTCATGTTATGTTCTTTTAACTCTAAAAGTCTTCTATTTCTCAGCAAATAATCCAAATCAAATAACAAGCTGCAAAGTACAATTTCTAATCAGGTAACATTTTTCTTTGGAAAATATATTATCCTTTGGATGGCATGCTATCTCTACCGTTCATATTTAGAAAAAAATAGAAGAATTTTTTGATAATGGCAACAATGATCTTATGAGACAATACAGATTTGCAGATGGTTTGGTTGATAAAAAGTGTTTGACTCTCTGGATTTCTCAGCATTGTAATTCTGCTTTACCATTTTTATGGGCCTGAACTAGAGAAATACTGGCCTCTAGTGCTTTATTCCAAGACGTAGGTTTTTAACAAGTTTGACTTAGCATTAGTTGAGTAACAGGAACGTAGTTGGATTTTATCTTTAAAACATTAGGTGCCTAGTAAATTTTGATTGTATGTTGCAGCCTTGAGCAGGACTGAATAATAAAATGGCATGATTTTGATAGTTTAAATAGAAATAAAATTCTAAAGAATCTTGCAATTGCTTTTCATTGTTTTCAAACTATATTTTAAAGTTCCAATTATATATTTTTATAAAAATATTTTATTATTTTTATAAAAACTATATTTCAAATGGTAATTTGTTCAATAAAACAAAGTCCTAAATTAATATCTAATTTATTTAATTTAATTTAATTATTTAATTTAATATTTAATTTAATTATTTAATTTAATTATTTTAATATTGTTTTTAAATTTTGTATGCTCTGTTTTTACTTTGGCTGTGCACCGCCCTGAGTCCTTTTTGGAGAAGGGCGGTATAGAAATTTAATTAATAAATAATAAATAATAAATAAATAATATCCAGCACAAAATTACAAACAGAAAGTAGAATATTTTATATTTATGTATTTATTAAAGTATTTATTTTCCACTCACTATCTTGGAATCTTAGGGCAGATTACAATTCTTAAAATATGTAAGAGAATCTAATAAAATGAAATGAAAATACTTTTAATTTTAATACTTAAAAATGAAACACTTTAATGCTTAAAAAAATGAAACAACACAATAAGCAAGAAAGATATAAATTCTTGCATGGAAAGAGAGATAATGTCATCTCAGGCACTTGAAGAAAGCTACTACATCTCCCTAAGCTTAGTCTTCTTTTTTGAAGATTAAATATGCTGTTTCTTCAATCTCTCTACATAGGATTTCATGGTGAAGTTACAGGACTGAAAATGAATAAAGAAAAAACTAAAATGCTAGTTAAAAATGTCACAGAGAAACAAAAAAAAAAAAGAGTTGGTGGAAAAGATAAATATTCAGATAGTTAAGAAAGTCAAATACTTAGGAGTTCAGTTAACAGTAAGATGTGCATCTATAAAAGAAGATAATTATATGAAACTGTTACAACAGAAAGGA